TGTTATCTTGTTTCATCTTATTGATTACCTAATTTATTCTTTTTTTTTCGAATGTAGCTAAGCAACGGGATGTACTACTATGCGAATTCTGCAGATAAGTAGTCTATGCATACTTCTGAAGAGTTCCGTGCTAGGAAGCAGCTGTCTAGTGCTCTTTTTGATTTTGTACATGTTAGGTCAGTCTTGTGACATAAACTACGAAATCCATACTATTAGTTTAATATAGACTTACAACAGCAGCTGACGATCACTCAAAGTCAAACCCATGGCTGTCTTCAATTATTAAACATATCTTAAAGTAAAGGAGAATTCAATTACGAAAAACCAATTCACCGCATGACATATACTTACAGAATGTCTTCATAAAATATGGAGACCAAACTTTTAGATACTTCATGATTCTTTCAATTCTGTTCTTATCACAATTGCTCTTTGTTTCCACCCCTGTTATCTTCAGTTCAATCTTCTCCTGACCAGCATTTTGCTTCCATCTTCTGCTACATATTACTATATCTGTTAGTATAAGTATCATGCAACACATTATGAATGATGCTTTCTAATTGACTTCTTATATCTAGTTACTAATGATCACCCACTGATCTCATTTGAGATACCAAAGAAAATCAAAGGGCAGTGAATAGTTATTTCATCCTAGAACAGGACTCCTCAGCAGTGCACACCAACAAATCTACCAGGCCTCAAACTCAGAACCTCCAGGTCATGCAACGAACACTGAACAGTTAGAAACGATAAGACGCCATTCAATGGTATGATTTTATGTTCAAACAACTAATCATACAGAACGAAGATCATCCAATGCTATTTGAGACAAATGTTCTACACACAACATATTTGATCTCCATCAGTCATAGCTGCTCGCTAAAACTTCAGATATGTTTTAAAGTATCTCATCAGTTAGCTAACTACCACTTATGAATTTTAAATACTCAATTGTGTTCATATACATACTAATCTGGTTATATATCATTTCATTATTAGAATACTAAGTATATACTGCAATACAGCACACCATTTCTTCAATGTAAAATCGTATTCACAGAGCAATAAAAATTGCAAAAATGATTTAGTAAAAAATTTACTTATTTAGTTGATTGAGAGCTTCTTCACCATTGCAGTAATCGAAAAGAAATAAACTTAAGTCTACTACTGCTACTTGTTGTGCATAGGCCATCGACGTAAGATTTCCAAGTGTCTCTTCCCTGAGTTCACTTTCTCAGGTGCTGCCAAGTGTTGCTATTTAGAAATACGAATGAATGCATGTTGATTAAAGTACAGTATTCATTAATTTGTCGCTCTTTAGGTATACATATAACAATATAGCAAAACTCTATTGCAACTGTATAAGAAAACATGTGTTATGTATCTTCAACTAAATTTACATATGGTATAACATGGATACTTTGACTAGTATTAAAATGATGAATTGAGTCACTGTTCATCATATAATTTTAATCCAATAAATATTAATTCAATTCTCTCTTAATAATCCATCTATTAAACCACTCAGTTAATTCAAGGGGCAGTAAGTTAGCAATGTAAACAATTGGATACCAGCTCAGTGGTTTAAAAGTTAAGTGCTCTCCACAAGACTTGTATGCTCTTTGTTAGATCCTCAGTTGGATCGTGAATGAATACTGTTGAGAAGATCCATAATAGGACGAAACAGCTATCTAGTGTTTTCTAGTTCCCAATGGTTGTGTAACTTGGATCAGTCAGTGATGGTATATCATAAATCGATTGTTCGGTGACTATTGCTACTGTTTGTAATTCTTCATGTTAAATAACAGTTGGTTTTATTAATCATTCATAAATCTTTTAATTGCTAAGTAGTTTACGTTTCAGTTCGTATAAACAAATAAAAAGCCCCGCCTAATTAGACGTTTTAGTTAGTTCTACTGAAAATTGTCTTTTACTTGGTTTAATGTTTGTTTGCATAAATCCAACAGATGACTTCATGAAGTGAAGAGTTTCGTTCGTTGCTGAGTTAATAGAAAGGTAAGTTTCTATTTTGAAAGCAGTTGGTTTATGATTTCTTGATTATCTTCTTATATTTCTCCGGATATATTAAATAATCTGTAATTATTAAGTCATTTAGTGAATGAAATCAAGTTTTCTTAATTCAGAGCAAATACACATAATCTTATTATTCCAGTTCAAGAATCCTTAGGGTTGTATGAAATGTTCCCAGTGATTTATAGAATACATAAAATACTTTAGTTATCAACAAACAAATAGATTATGTACAGTCATAATTATCTTAATATTTAAATATTTCCCAACAATTATAATGTATGGTACTTTTCAAGTATTGACTAATATCAACTTTTAAATTGTTAGGACTTTGATAGACTCATAATTGACTGATCACTGGATGGTGATCAATGTCATACGTGTCAAGTCCTTCTTAATGCAGATCGAATGCTATCGACCAAGTTGCAATGTGGCCACTAGTCTAGTTGACTCAATACTGCGTGCACTATGTTGAGATGTATTTTCACTATGATAACCGTTACGACTCATCATGTAGATGGTGATATTCTTCGACTTACAAGTGTCAAATTATCCAACAAATAATCAAAATACAACACAATTTGTATGTTAAACAGTGTTTATCCTCTTGTTCTATTACTTTTAAATATCTTAATAGTTAACTATTTAATTGAGTGTCAAAAAACACTTATGAATAATGTATATGTCTAGGTATGAATGAATGATTTATCTTATTATTGATAGTCTACCGAATAAATCATCCTTCAAAATAGGATCTAGGTAGATCTAGATCAGTTCTTCGATACGACATGATGAATTTACATTGAATGAATATGAATAGATAACAGATAGATAGTATGAATACGTTGCTAACAATGTGAATATCCCAAAAGATGAAATATGTTAAGATGTAATTGCAAAGTTACCAGTTATAAAAAACATACAAATTTTTGTATAATTTTTTTTAATTAACATAAAAGGATAATAAAAACTAGTTGATTGATTTGCTCTGATTGATCGTCAAGTCATAGAATGATGAACTATACAATAGAATTTTCAGAATATGAACCTTTATGAATCGATATTGGATATAAATAGGGATCTCTTCTTTCGATTCGTCAATCAACATCTAAAGAAAATTATTATTATGTGAAGTCATTTTGCACTACTTGTCAACATTGAAAATGTTATATCAGATTATTATTTCTGGTTCATTTTAATGTATGTATCAATTTTGTCATTGAAGTTAGATATTTCAATTATTGTTTGACGCTTTTGAAGTTTGGAAGCTAAGCTGTCGCCACGAGACAGAAGGCTATATGTTCTGTTGAAGTTAGACATTGACACCATTGGATGGTGGCTCAGTGGTCCAGTAAGTTAATCATTCGCGCGCGAGACTGAATGCCCCGGGTTCGAATCCCGCGAGCGGGATCGTGGATGCGCACTGCTGAGGCGTCCTACAATAGGACAAAACGGCCGTCCAGTATTTCCAGGTTTTCAATTTTGGTCTAACAATAATCAGTTAATGATCTCAGTTGAAAATATGTGTTCGGTCTTCAGTGAGGCTATTGATGTGCATTTCTAGAGTCTTATACTACAATGGACTTGCTATCCACTCGTTTTTTTTCAGTAAAATTCAACAATCTCAACAAATCCTTCATGTTAATCAATTGATAATCCTTTTCATGTTTATCATTTTCAACAATAAATTATATTAATTTCAATGGTTGAGATCATGAGTCATTTGAAGCTAGACCACCAGGAAAAACCTGGAAGTTCGTTTCGTCCTGTTGTGGGATTCCTCAACAGTGCGCATCCACGATCCCGCCTCATGAGATCCGAACTCAGAACCTATCGGTCTTGCACGAGAGCGCTTAACAACTGCAGCAGTGAGCCGGCATCCAACCATCTTAATGTCTACCTTCAACTAATCCACGAAATTGAGCGGCACATAAATTATATTCTAATTATTGTCTATAAACCATTTCACTCACATAAACCATATTCTGTCTTTATTCTGAGGTGTTATAGAATGTTATGACTGAAATTGTATAAATGTTTTTGTGATTATACATTCATAACAAACATCGATGTAAAATAAATTTGATACATTTACTCTATATGATTGGGTATATGGATGTTGTTGATCAAATAGTTTATGTTGTAGTGTATGCTACTTATACTGATAGATATAAGTAATATGTAGCAGCAATCAGAAGTGTAATGCCTGTCAGAAGAAGATTGAATTGAAGAAAACAAGAATCGAAATAGAGAGTAATTGTAATAAGAGATCAAAATTATAAAAATCATGAAGTGTGTAAAGGACAACTTTAAGAAGATATACAAATAATGTATTTAGCTTGTGGTTTCCATGTTGTTTAGTTATTAGTCCACGAACAAATAAAATGGTTTGAAGTTTATTTCAATGATCTTCAAAAAGTTGCCTTAATTCAAATGTCATAATTTTCAATAGTTAACCTTTTAATAAATGTATTAGTCCAGTAACAATTTACATGAAGCACACAATCAAATAATCGATTATTGTGTACTCGTTTATGTTTCTAGGTTAGTGAATGTTTATCGATATGAGATTGTAACAAAAATGATAATGAATTCTAATTATGATTTAGTAGATAAATATTTTAGACAAGAAAATGATGAATGAGTAATTATGGTGTAGTAACAGAGCTGACTGATTATATATAGATAGATATATTCGATTTCGTATTGGCCACACAATCTGTCCAGTAAATCAATGTCTTTGTATAAATATATGCATATATACGTGTGTGTGTGTGTGTGTGAATACGTAGCATAGTATGTTCAATGTAATATACACATCATTGCCTATACTAGTCTCATACAAGCCATTTATTTAAAAACAAAATTCAGTTGTAACCAATCTATATTTCGTTTGGTGAATGTATTCCATTCATGTATCTATATAAATCTATGCCAGATAAATAAATATTCTTCGAATTATATCTGATATTATTCCTAAGTATTAACATTATTATCATAGAGCAGAAATAACTTTATGCTGGTTTATTTATTATGTAATTTTAAATTAATTACTCACATTTGTTACTCACATGGATACTAATAATAATTAATAAAATTAGAAAAAAAATCAACCAAACTATTTTTTGTTTCCAACCCTATTCAATGCAATAACCATTAGTAACTATGGCTACAAAATTATGATATGAAGTTGATTTAATCTATTAATTTTTTAAAAAAAGAATTATAACTATCATTAATAAACAGTCTTTAATGTGTACTTTAATAATATGGTAAGTTTAAAAGTGTTTTCATATGTAATTATAATGAAGTTACTCGTTATTTTTATGAAGCCATGATCTAAAGTTTAAGTAAAGATTGTATTTTATAATTACAATCGACAAAAAATTGGAAATGTGAACTAATTTAATTAGATCCTCCTTGAAAATAGATGTCATGAACTTTAATTGTTAATAATGCTCACTTAATTGAATCATTGAATTAAAGAGTCTATTAATTGTTAACTCATTTTGTATCTGTCTGATCAATTATTTATTGATTTAAACATATAAACATTGGTACAAGGAGGTACCAAATAGATATGAGCCATATAAATCATTTGATTTGTGTGAGGGTGCCCGGGTGCCCAAACCGAAGCAGGTGGTTTGCTAAGGGGGCTACACCCCGAACCTCCAACCTAAAGGCCTAATCCACAAGGCAATGGAGCAATGTCAGAATCCTGGAGCCCATGTGCATCATTGGTTTGGAATGAGGGTTTTCCAACTCCTCTAGGTGGACTCTCCATATCCACCAACCCCGTTAGAGCGTATTTCATTCACTTTTCGTCCTCTTTGTCCGGGGCCCGTTATTTTGTCGTATTTTAGATCGGACGGTGTTTGTTGACGGGTTCTTCACTTTAATAGCCCGTGGATCTGACTCCAATTAGATCGTATGAATTTTTGTTATCGCCTATCCTCGTATATAATCATCGACTCAAATCGTGTCCGTCAATAGCGGAATTAAATAAGTCAAATAACAAGAATGGACTTTTAAATATATATACTTTGTATATGATGCAAATAGAATAGACAGAAGCGAAACGACGAGCAGTCAAGCGTTAATCAATATTTATAGGCACACAAAAATAAGTTACAGACATGTGAGAGTCATGGGATAAGAAGTGTACATACACCTATGCGCTCATATAAGAACAGTCAAGATTGATCAGCGAATAATTAACAAGGTCAAAATGTGACTCAAGTAAAATGAATAGAATGGGCTGTCCGAAAGCTTAGAATAAGGTATATGGGCTTAACATAATGACCGACACTACACTCTCAGTTTCGTAAACAATACCCGTGGTTCGAAAATGCAGTGAGTAGGACTTTTGTGGCAGTGGTTGTATGCACGTAGTCATGTGAGAACATTCGGAGGAAGAATGCTGACTGACCTCACTCTCGATTGTACCAGGGTATTTAGGAGCTGTCTGATCAATGAGTTACTCTTTTGACCATTAACAAAACGACTGTGAATTATGACTGACAAATCTTAATTCCTAACGCTTTAAAACTGAACTCCTTCTATCCTCAATAGCCAATTTGAAGATATACATAAGAAACCGATAAATGTTTTATTACCATGACTCAAAATCCATAGGATTATAAACATTAATTACACGATAAGACCTCACTATATATGTATGAGATTATATTTTATACGTTATTCAGTCATATGTGATACACAATAGAGGAATAGACAAATAACTAACTTTCACAGATTGAAATCATGAGTCAGTTGAAGCTAGACCACCATTGAAAACCTGGGAGCACTGGACGGCCGTTTCGTCCTGGTATGGGACTCCTCAGCAGTGCGCATCCACGATCCCGCACCACGCGGCGCTCGAACTCAGGACATACTGGCTTCGCGCGCGAGCACTTAACCACTAGACCACTGAGCCGGCATCCAACGGTGTTAATGTCTAACTTCAACCAATCCACGAAGTTGCGCCACCATATACCATTGTCTTCAGTGAACCGTCCAGTGCTTCCAGGTTTTCCATGGTGGTCTAGCTTCAACTGACTCATGATTTCAATCTGTGAAAATTTCTAAAATCTCCACAAACCCCTTCTGAAAATAACTAACTGATGGTAATTTCGTGACAGTTCAACTTATCAACAGTTAACAATTTAAACAAAAGTAGAGAAATATAAAAGGGAAATATAAAAGCACCCTAAACCAAAATATTGAATACACAACAAAAATATGTATAATAATTCTATATAGAATAATTATAAAAAAGTGTCACCCCCTTTCCAATGATATACTATGATATAATAGCAAAGTACTAGGTGTATATAAGTGATCATTGGTTCAAAATGTTGAATGACTTCAAACGATGACAACAGCAACTGCACATTTTATTTTAATCTTTGATGATAATTTATAAAATCTAGATAGAGTTTATTATTGATTTCTTTCATTTTATCACAATAATTAAGAAATGACTTATTGATCTCATCAATTGTGATCGATTGATTATTTTTGTTTTAAAGCTTATCGTAGTACACAACAGGAATTCATTTGTTGTTGTTGTTGTTGAGTGGTTTTGTAAATAAATTCAACGATTAGTGATTATTATTCGATAAGATGTTTTGAAGATATTTTCTAGTCCAAACAAATTTTAGTCGTAGAAAAAGAAATGCTAAACAGGTATTTCATTTTAGTTTTAAATTAACAAATGATTCGTTGTTAAGCGGTGACCAATATCTCATCTGTCTAGTCCTTACTACTGATCAGATCCTACGGATTAGGTTTCAGTGTGGTTATTAGTATTACTGACTTGACTTCATGTGCAAAATACTGAAGTGTTAAATGGCTGGAGGTAGTTGAGAGAAAATCTTATGCTGACTTAGGTTTCGTGTTAGTTAACATTCATCCTCATCAAGGTAATAATAATTCGTAGTGGATTCAAACATGAATGAAACTGACTATCTTTCAACTATCAGTCAATATAAATATTTCAGCTGAACAGAAGGTTGGTCGACAATTGGATACCTCACTGCTAACATCTTTGATTGTGAGCCCGACTGATCCAGGTTCGAATCCACTAGGAAATATTATTTCCCTTAAAATTACAAGTACATCTTAATGATGAGTTTCAAATAACACGGAATCTAGGTCAGTACCTGGTATCTCATCAACTATTTCCAACCAATTAATAGTTTAGAACTTGTCATAGCTCCACACTTATGACATCATATCGAACTATAATCTAAAACTTCATACTATCAAAATACCTAAAAAAATGTATACAAGTCGGTTATCCTCGTATATAATCATCGAGTTAAATCGCGTTAGTGCATAACGGAATTAAATAAGTCAAGTACGAGGATGGATTTTTGAATAAGTACATATTTCTTACAATCGTTAATCAGAAAGCTCGATCGAGAAGGCTAGTTGAACCTACTTGATTTAACCAAGTGTGAATCGATATTTATTGTCGAACAAAAATAATTTACAGACATTTGATGAGTGAGCTAAGAAATTAGCATACATACGATCATATATAAAAAAACAATCGAGGTATTAATAAGCAAATAACTGACAGGGTAAAATTTGGCTTGAGAAGAATAAATAAATTGCACTGTCTGAAAACTAGAATAACCTATGTAGATTTGACATAGTACCAGGCCTTGCATACTAAAACCTTAACATAGTTTAGATGTTAATATCATCCTGATAACCGGATTTAAATAAAATCTATATTCCAATAATTAGAACTGTTCAAAAAATTGAATTATAAATTTGCGCCATAATTATGTAGGTAATATTGATCAAAAGAATAATATGCTAACAATGTATACTACTTATGTTGACATATATAAGTAGTATGTAGCAGCAGTCGAAAGTGAAATACCTTTCAGAAGAAAATCAAGGAGATTGAATTGAAGAGAAAAGGAATTTAAACAGAAAGTAATTGTAGTCACAATAGAAATGAAGGAGTGATATGAAGTTTGTTAGGGACAACTGATGGAAAATATTTTACAAAGGCATTCTGTAATGTAGTATGCAATAAAATAAATTGGTCTTTTCCCGCCTGAGTTCTCGTTTACTACAAGCTAATATTATCGAAAACATTTCAATCTTGGCTAAGTGTATTGTCCTTTGTAATTTTAATTCTTTTGTTTTCATGTAGTGGGTAAGTACTGTGTATTAAAATATAATCCAAATAATGATTACGTGTCAAGCTCTAAAGTTTACTAAGGTTTTTTTGATTTGATATGTTAGACATATTCATAGCAGATAGCTGAGAATAACTCCATACTGTTGAAATGTAATCTTTACTGAAACTTACACTTTAATTATAAAGTATCCAATCAGTATATAAGGGGGAAAATGATTGAAATGGCTGAGTATGATAGGGAACCTATGGAAAACTGAACAAGTTTTGGATGACCTTATCTAAATGAGTGCATCATTGTCTTTAAAAAAAGAGAGACACAGTTACTTTTTTTGGTTCTTTTTAAGTATCAGAGATAGTTTTCAGTACAACAATATTCATATTATTAAGATCAATTTATTCTGTTTTTTTAATGAAGATTTGAATAATCAATAGTGAATCAATAAATGATTAGATACAAATTGAAATTACCTGACTATAGTATTCACTCTTGAATCGTTAGAGAGTAAAACACAGTATCATGTACGTTACTAATGTACTAGTGTAGTGAATGACAACACAAGTGGGGATGATCAAATGAAGTTGAATAAAAGATTACAATCTCTTAGTGAATACTAAGAACCATACAGTAAATACTACATTTACAAAATTTCAATCAATTATCTCAGAAATCATTGTTCCTACATTTCCATACTAATCACTCTATGTTCTCGTTCTCTTCTCTTCGATCTTCTTAACCTTGTGCCGTCAGGTCTTTCACTTTCAATTGATCATACATACTACTTATATCTGTCTACATTAGTAGCACACACAACACTAGAATTAAATTTAATGGTTATACATTTTTAATCTTAACTTAATAGTGAACATGAGATAGATAATATTTAACAATGAAATGCAGATCTATGTTCATGATTTTACATTCTAACTAACGAATGAGATTCAGTTATGATGGATTACTCTATTTAAATCTAATCAAACAAATTGAGCATGTCATCAAGTGTTGATGTACTTGATGTATCCAAGTCAAAATCTAATATTGTGTAACTAATGTAGAGTTAGATTCAATTCACCAACAACAAGAGAAACACATTTATATATTTATATACATTA